GAATGGTTCACAATTATTTGATTACTTTATAGTCTATCTTTTTCCCAATTTATCAATGAGCTAATATTCTATTAGCTAAATAATATGTAGAAGCTGGAACAAACATCGAGCTGATTGTTGACAAAAGTAATTTGTTACAAGATAATTATATCATTAACAGTGTTTTAGTTGAACTGAAAATTTCTCTTATACCAATTTTTCTCCTTATCCAACTGTAAATTTCGCCTGTTTTTCCTGTGAAAAACTAAAAAGCAAATGAACAATAATTTGTACAGTTATATTGAACAATAAAAACAAACATATAAACACACACACACACACAAACACAAATACAAAGAAGTAAAAAAACATTTGCCAGACAAAAATTCTAAATTTTTTTTTTTTCTTTCTTGCTACAGTTATATTCGAGAAAACAGCTGTTCACGGCAAATGATTGATAAATATCAGTTAAGTTTTTAGCTTACATTTAAAAACAACAATACCAACAATAACAAAAACAAAAAAAAAAAAACAAAAATTTTTCTCGAAATCTTTAGCAGTCATTTTTTTTTTTTTGGAATTGTATTTATTGCACGAAAGCGAAACAAATACAAACAGTTATCTGCCACTTTATTTCTTCTGCCGTTTCTTAAAAAATTATAAATTTAAGAAAAAAAATCAGTGTACAAAAGAAAAAAAAAACCACTAATCAGTTTACAGTTTCACATAGTTAGCAGATCAAATTTGACTTAATAGACTCACAGAAACGTATATTCAACAACAATACACTGTGAGACCAATTTTTACAGATAAAAGAGATTTACAGTTTGATTTTCAGTTTTTAAGCAATTTTAAGAATGAACTTTAACTTTTTAATATGAAATAGTTATCATAAAAAAGTTACCAAATAGGTATAAAATGTTAAGTGAAAGAAGAAAGCATTGTATATTAGTTTCAGTTCAGATAAGAACATAAAATATATTTTCATGCAATACTTTTTTTTGTAGAAAAGAAAAGCAAAAATTTAATTGTATTAAAAACTACTCAAATTTTAAAGTTGTTGCTAAAAAAGAATTTTTTTTTTTACTATAAATATAGCAATAATGTTTCTTTTATTATTTTTTTTTTTTTCTGCAAGATTATTATCCAAAATTTTTTGATCAATGGAATACCAAAATAATCAACCGGTAGTTTCTCTTGAGAAAAAAAAAACAACATTATAAATCTGTCAATCTTCTATATAGGGCTATAATCTTTGCTTGTTCTCAGTATAATGATGCTGGTCACAGACATCGAAAATATAGAATGAATTCAGCAGAAAAAACGGTGTTTTCATCGTCACTGTTACAGATGCAATAGTCGACAGTCAGCCCGGTTTGACAATATAAAATAGAAGACCCAAACAAAAGAATTTAAAGTGATATGATATACAACAGCAACAAAAGAAAGAGAAGCAATTCTTATTTATTTAAAAAGAAGTTGAGTTTAGAGAAAAAAAAAAAAAGAAAACTGAAACACATCGGTAAGAAGACAATTTGGAAATTGTTGGGGAATAGCATTATCCCATTATGCACCCCCTGTTCACCGATGTGCTTCTAGTGTACCGTCTGAATTCCAGCAGTGTTCCAGAGCTCATCTTCTATCACCCTTTATTGTTCAGGCTTCTGTATCTGTTAGATGTTATATCCAAGAAAAAAAAGTCCAAACAATGAATGGCACTACCAG